GGGGGAGGGTCTGCGGCGGGGGGCGGCGGGCGTGGAGCCGGCCGAGCCGTAGGGAAGGGCTCGGGGTGCCGCTGGGGACGGGGATCCCTGTGCTGAGGGAGCGATGCGCTGCTGCTCGCCTCCGGGTTCGTGTCGCCGGGCTTCTGCTCTCCGTAGCTGTGAGGGCTAAAAATTAACCGTAATTGCCTCATTCGTGGAGAGAAGGCCTTGAGTCATCGCTCGTTAGCGATTCGGTGAGGAAGAAAACGAGCTTTGTGCAGCTCGCTCGTGGCCGAGGAAGGCAGCGTCCCGGGAGGCGGCAGGGTCAGCTCCCGTAGAGGAGCGCGGAGACGCGGCACTGAGGGACGCGGGGTGGGCTGCGGTTGGACGTGGTGAGCTCTGGGGTCTTTCCCAGCCTCCGCGATCCTCTGATCTCACCTCTCACTTCACGGTGGGATTTGAAAGGCTTTTATTCAAGTCCCACCTTGATTTGGAAGCCGTCGGCTTGGCCGGTGACAGCGCATCTCCTCAGCCCCAAGGCGCAGCTCTTCTCAAATCAACTCCGCTGCCGCTGTGCGCAGCGCCCGAATTTCCTGACAAGGGAGATGTTGGTCTCCCAGGTTTGACATTTTTCCATCCAGCGCCCAAACGTGACTGTTTCTGACCTCCACCCACAGCCCTGAGTGCTGGCGGGGGGTTCCTGCTGCACTCCGTGTTGGCTGTCACCCCACCTCACTGAGGGGAGGAGGCGTTTTCTGAGATAAGCCCAAGTCGCAGCTGCTGATGCTTTAAATTGTATTAAAAATAGATAAGCGTCTTCAGCATGCTCTCTGCGAGGAGCAGCGCTCAGCAGGAGATCCCACTGATCCTCCAGGTGAGGAGCGTGCAGTCGGTGCCAGGAAACACAAAGGCTGCCGTGCAAGCTCGTTACCCTCTGCCTCCGTGGTCAGCGTCCAGTCTTCTGAGCAGAGAGATTACGCCTCGCCAGCATCTTCTAATTCAGGCTGCCCCCAAAACGTGTCACAAATTGCTGCTCCCTGGGTACGGGGGCAGAGACGTGTCCCTGCTGTTGGAGCAAGCGCACAAGCGGAGTTTGGGGCTCCCCGGGGACTGACTCCTGACCCCGGCCACACACAGCCTCCGTCAGCAGGCAGCGTCTGACTTTTCCTTTTATTTTTCTTTCTGCGCTTTCCAAGCTGATTTCCTGAGAACTCGTGGGATCCCCCGTGTGCTGGGCCTGCCCACGGCCCTGCAGGCCTGACTGGGCCCAGGCGTCCCAGCCCTGCACTCCCTGCGTAATGTGTGCCGGCCACGCTCCTACAAGAGTCTGTTTGCCTTGATTAAGAGAATGCTTTGGATTTCATCGCTTTAGAAACCGGTGGCTGGGAAGATTATGCGATTACAGGGCCCCGGTCCTGTAAACATTTGCACATACTTGACGTGATTTCAGCTGTGTGTTTCTAATGGTATAAGTGAAACGGCTGATGTGAGTAAGGCCCTGCGTATTTAAATGCCTGCAGGGTTGGGGCCGGAGATACCGGCTACATATGAGAGGAAATGACTTGACTTGGGTTATCTGCACTTCCATTTTCCTATTTTAATGACCATCCGTGCAGTACAAACACGGAGCAGGCGGCGGGGAAAGATCAGTGTGATAAGACTCAGTATTTCCTTGGCTCTGCGGTTTGGGGTGGGACGTCATGTATTAGTTAGCTAATACTGCAGCTGTATCCTCCAACACAACACGACGACAAAACCTGACATCCTTGATTCTGTTAGGGACAGCCCTGTTCTTCTATGCTACATTTGTTCTTCTTTTTCCTTCTAAAGGCAAAGGGGGCAAGAAGTTTTGAGACGTTGCAACCTCAGAAGAAAAAAGGAAAACAGCAGCACGCCAGCCCCATTTCCTCCCCAGTGCATGTTACCATTAACGTTACAGGTAAGGCAGCGCATTCGCTACTTCACCACCTTTTGTGTGTTTGAAGTTCTGCCCTGAACTCTGTGTTGACGTGGACCTGTGTGCTACAGTTACTTCTTCATTTCGTGTGGGTTCTGTTGCTTTCCTCCAAACATAGCGAAGGGGAAAAGAAGCCTTCAGATGTGGCATTGTTAAGCTGCACCTTGGGAAGCTTGATGCAACTCTGATCTCATCCGCCCTGTAGATACGCAGCCGTCCTGCAGTGTAGCAATCCCTTTGCACAACCCCAGGAGATTGACAGGCTGTTCTGCAGCTTCAGGTTTAGTAACATATTTTGCCAAGTTTGCACAAAGTCTGTTGTGGCATACGAACATGCACTATCCTGCAGGAGAGAAAAAAACCCGTTGAAGCTCTAGAGCCCTGTCCTTCAAAGGCACGTCTGCTTAAGTTTAAGCATGTGTTAGTGCCTTTGATTGGGAGATTTTTCAGAGTGGGCACTATCAGCCTCGATATTCCTGGACTGCCTGAAATTGTTTTGATATCTGCAGCACTCTGCCTAATTGACGCGCAGATGCCATCCGGCTTGGAAGCTGCTCGTGCCAAAAGTGGTCTTTAATGAAGATATTTATTTTCTTTTCTTCTTCTTTTTTTTTTTTTTTTTGGTGAGTTTACATCTAATTTTGGACCATTCTGAATTTTTACCATATATGGTCAGGGCTCCTTTTCAAACTTTGCCAAAATGAAATGTGATGATTTATAAAAAAAAAAAACAAAACAAAACCAAACCAAAAACCTAAGAGAGCTGGTTTGCTAATCCCCATTGTTCGGGAGTCATATTTTGCTGTATGCAATATCTGACTACACCAGTGTTAGCTTCTTTTTTTTCACAGATTCATTTGTGCTCGGTGGACAGTCTGATCAGTTGGTGTTCAGAGTTGGATGCTGTTCTTTTTCTCCCCTGGCCTGTTGTGTATTTTTTGCCCTCTGTTGGAAGCGCTACAGATGACAGATATTTTGGGTTTAATGACATGATTAAGATGCCTTCAGTTCAAATACGTGCTGGTCAGCTTTTGAAAAGTCTCTGTGGAGAGAGATTCTCTCTCCTTCCTGATCCTGTCCTGTAAAGGACAATTATTGTAACAATATTGCTCTCCCCTGTCAACGTGCTTTGAAGGTAGAAGCGCTAAGTATTTTAATCCATTATGCAATCATTACCTATTTTTAGAACCTGAACCATTTTTTTATGTTCTTTTTACAATGCAAATGTGCTTTTATTGAGGCTCACAGAACGAACTGTTTGGAGCACTTGAGCCGCAGGGAACGGGAATGAGGATCTGTCAGGGAGTGTTTTAACATAACGTTTGTAAAAGGTGGCGTACAGAACATAAAGATCAGAGAACTGCTGCGAGCCACTTGTAAATTAAATGCTGGAAAAGCTCTCTAAAACCTGCAATATTTCAAGCTGAATGAAAGGAGATGAAAGACGTTCTAAATGCAAATGGTAGCCCAGCTCTGTTAACGATGGCATTTTTCTTTCTTTGCCAGTAGGGCCGTACACCTGCAACTCAGACAGCCATGGAGAAGAGTGGGAACATTCAGCTGGAGATTCCTGACTTCAGTAACTCTGTCCTGAGCCACCTGAACCAGCTGCGCATGCAGGGTCGCCTGTGTGACATCGTGGTCAACGTGCAGGGGCAAGCTTTCCGCGCTCACAAGGTGGTGCTGGCTGCCAGCTCGCCCTATTTCCGTGACCACATGTCCTTGAACGAAATGAGCACGGTTTCAATTTCTGTCATCAAGAACCCTTCTGTTTTTGAGCAGCTCCTTTCTTTTTGCTACACCGGTCGGATATGTCTGCAGCTGGCTGACATCATAAGTTACCTAACGGCCGCCAGTTTCTTGCAGATGCAGCACATCATAGACAAATGCACGCAGATTCTCGAGGGAATTCATTTCAAAATCAACGTGGCGGAGGTGGAAGCAGAATTGAGCCAGACCAGGACGAAACATCAGGAGAGACCCCCAGAGTCTCACCGGGTGACGCCAAATCTGAACCGTTCCCTGAGCCCCCGTCACAACACCCTGAAAGGGAGCCGCCTGGGCCAGGTTAGCACAGTGCTGGACATTCGGGAGCTCAGCCCACCGGCAGAATCCACCAGCCCTCAGATAATCGAGCAGAGCTCGGACGTGGAAAGCAGGGAACCCATCCTGAGGATTAACAGAGCGGGACAGTGGTATGTTGAGACAGGAGTGGGAGACCGCGGGGGACGGAACGACGATGACGTCCGGGTGCTGGGAGGAGTGCGCATTAAAACGGAGAACCTGGAGGAGTGGCTGGGGACAGAGAATCAGCCGTCAGGAGAAGATGGCAGCAGTGCTGAGGAGGTCACTGCTATGGTCATCGACACCACGGGCCATGGATCAATAAGCCAAGAGACTTACACGTTAGGGTCCTCCGGGGCCAAAGTGGTGAGGCCGACCAGCAGTGAGATTGACAGGTGAGTTTTCTTGAGCTTATTTACTGACCTTGGCTGTATGAAGAGATTGAGCAAGATTTTCACTTGTCTGGATTGTTCCATTTTGGATATCTGCCCCTAATATTTCACGTGGCCATCTTAAGCAAAAGAGCTGAAGGAATTGTTCTATCGCGTTAGAGAGAGTTTGGTTTTCATTTTGGTTATAATGTTTTGGCTGGATCATGATCAGACCAGGTTCTCCATGTGCAGGCTGACTTGGGAACTCGAGTTTTATCACTTAGAGTTGTATAGATTAGAATGTCTGTGTCTCAGTGTTCCAACTGTGGTGGGATTTTTGTCTAAAAGAGACGTTGCAGTTCAACCTCAGCAGATGGAATCGATGAGGTTGTATGCAATATGTTACACAAAGTGCCATTGTAACGATGCCTGCTGGCCTGGGAACTTGTGGGTTGCTCTGCTTTAGGGACAATCTGGTCACCAGCTATAGGTCTAGAGGAAATATTCTTCCTGGTGGCCCAAGATAGTAGCAGATCTTGGGTTTACCTCTTTTGAAGCTAACAAAGTGGGGACCCTTTTGGCCTCCACTGTCGTTTTGATTATGTGAAAGAGCAAAAAGCTTTTATTGGTAAAAGGTAGTGAAATACCCTGTGCTTTGTTTCTCCATCCATCTGCTTCCCCTGAGCTCCAGCATTTGTTTTCTTGCACTTAGCTCAGACCAAACAATGGAGCTGATAAAGGGTGGATTGTTTGTATCTGTGAGGTTATGGATTTGTGGGAGATTTCCCTTCACATCCGCCTCTGTTCTCTTCCACCTCAATCCCTCTGGTCCCACGGGGGAACAGCTACCCAGAAACAGTGGATGTTCCATCACTTTAATAAATCAGTCTGTGGGAATGGTCTTGAGCTGAACCTGTGGGACAGGAGGCCTTTCCTAGCTTCTTACCTCTTTTCCATGGGTCATCTAGCCCTGAGCATCTCTTTTTGCACTGCATTCCACATGTGCTGTTTGCTACCTGGAACCCACCTCATCACTGCTGCGACGTGTCTCAGTGTCACTCTCGTGAGGGGGAGGAGGATGAGGGTGGTACGTGAGGGACCCCCTTGGAGAAATGGTTTCTTCTCCCGTAGAATTCCTGAGTTCACCGGGCCCATATCAATTTACTTGCTTGCAGTAGCGACCGAAAAGCTCTCTGTTACTGAATTGGAAGCCAAATGACTCAGTTTTATTTTTCAGATGTTAAGACTGAAACTACAGACCACTATGACTTGGTTTTTCCTTTATACTTGCGCTGTTCCGCATTCCGCCTCCTGTGTGTTAGCTGGTGAGGATGAAGAGATGTTACACAGGTGCCTCTATTGCTCACCCATTGTTCTACACACCACAGTGACCTGATGCCCATTAAAAACTCCACTTACGCTCTTCCCCCATCCCACAGATTTAGCCCTTCTGGCAGCACGGTTGCTGTGACTGAGCGGTACAGATCAAAAAGCGAGTCTCCCGGGCGGATGGATGAGCCCAAGCAGCCCAGTTCCCAGGTAGGCAGATTTAGAAGTTTGCAAGTAAACATTGTCATTGAAACCTAAGGGAACTACATTGTGGTTTCACATGTAATGTTTTGCATTTACAAGCAATACTGCTTGAGAAACAAGAACCACTTGCTGTGGCAAAGGGTTAAGTTGCGCGCACTCAGATCGCATGCCATCAGTATATAATTTAAAACCGATTGTCTGTTGTTTGGGACTTCATCCAGATAGCTGGAAAACATGAGGAGTTTCTCTTGTTGTCTGAGGGCATAAATGCCAACCCTCATTCTGGGCAGGCCACCAACTCCTGCGGAGAAACTCTGTTCACCTGCAGAGCTGTATCTGCTAAAGTGCTGACAGCAAATGCCTGAGCTGAAGGAGGAGGTATTAGCTGGCTTCAAGAAGGGCCGAGGGGTGACAACATCTGAGCTTTTTCCTACTAGTATCAAAACCATCCCCAGAAGCCCTCCCAGTACCACAGCAGTAAAGCTTTTGGGTGGAGTGGCAGGTGGCTGTAGGTTTACCTTGTGGGTTCGTAGTGTTTTGTCCTTTGTCTAGTTTCTTTTTTGCATGCAGTCAGTGTTGCGGTGACACTGTAGTGCAAGTGCATCACCCAGCACTGTGTAGTATGACTCTCGTGTTCCTGACACATGAGTAATGTGTCAGTTCATAATCAAGTGACTTTGCTGGAAGCAGGTGAGAAGTTAGCAGGCTGCTCTGACCTTGAGTGAGAGCGAGTGAAGAGAGGAATAATAATGACAATTTTGGCCTGCTAACTTCCTAATACCCTTCAAAAAACCAGATGATACCTTTTTGTTCCTATTTTGCTGAAGGTTTGTTTTGTGTCCTCAGAATTCATCTAGAAAATTTCAGGTCAAACTAACCCTCCAGGGCAAAAGCGACATAAAAAGCAATTTTAGCTCCAAGTGTGGAAAAGCAGCCATTATTTCTTTGTAGTGAGATGGCCTCAAACTTAGAACCGTAGGCTTCAGCATATGCAGGGCAGTATTATCACCTTTCACTCTTCTGCTGTTCCTGTACTGGTGTTATAAATAGTTTGCCTTTAATCCCTCCCTGGTGGCAGAGTGCAAGCAAAGTACTGTACCATGATGCATCTCCTTTAATTCTCTGCAGCTTGCCACTGCTTCAACAGCCTATTTCAGGGGCACCTGACATGGTTATGCTGCTGCTTGCACGTGCCCAGCCCTACCAGCCAGAGGAGAGCTTCTCCTGTGCTTATGCTGCTTGCTTGTCTGTGTTTGGCATCGTCAGGAAATGCCACAAGCATGGGATGCAAATGCTGCATCCTGCAACAAGGAGGCATTCAGAGGCCATCTGCCCGCATTCATTCTGGACGTGATAGCTCTGGAAAGTTCCAGAAAGCAGTGCCCGTGGCTGCCCTAGAGCAGTGCAGCCCTTGGCTGTTTGTCTTTCTGGCTTCAGAAGGCGGCCTGCTGCCCTGGCTGTGTGTCTTGGACCAGGCATCTCAGCTCTCTGTGCTGTGGCTTCCCTGCCACAACACAGGGGTAGATGGATTGGATAAGAATTTTGGCAGACATCGTTCATGATAAAATGAAGCCTGAATGACACCTGAATAAATAACCCCTTTGAAATGACACCTGAAGAGTTTCAGATGTGATTTGGAGTTTACTCCACCTTGGTTTTACTGTAAGCTCAGCAGCTGGCTTTTTTTTTTTTATTTAAACGTTGAACAAGTAAAATAGGGCACAGTGAAGCTGACCCAAATTTAAGGGGAAAAATAAAGAATAATAAAAAAAAAGAATACCATGCATTGACCCGTTTGATCCACAACTCCATCAGTGGCTGAGTGCCCTTCTGACAAAGGCAGCATTTTCTTCCCCAGACCTAGTGAGTGGCTTGGCAGAAGGGGCCGTGGAGCAGAGGTTTCTAATTGATTGCTCATTTGTTTCCAGCCCCAAGGCTCCTGTTAAGCACTTAAATGTGTGCTTGAGGTTGAAGACATTAGTGCTGTTGATTTCTAGGTTTGGCACATGCTTCAGTGCTTGACTGGACTGGGGCTCAGAGGAAGAAGCAGCAGATCTTCTTCCCTTCTTTTTTATCAAGCTGTCTGTTTATATAATCAATGAATATACAGATGTCACAATTATGAAATAAACAAGAGAGTTTGGCTAAGCAAGTTATTATACCAAAAAGAAAATAGATAGAGTGCTTACCCTTGTCCTGAGCAAAGTGTAAATCTCCAAAGAAGGGATCTCCAGAATGAGATCCTTCCCCACTGGTAGTCAGCTCTTAAATGGGTCTAGGACAGCAGCCAGGTTCCACCCCTTCCAGCAGCACAGGTGAATTGCCTTCAGCTGTGCTCCCCTGGCCTCAGGTGATCAATCAGAGGTTCAGGCCGTGATTCAGCAGTTCCCATGCACTGTTTTTCTAAATCTGTGTTGTTTCCTGGGCAGGGGGAGGAATCTGCCATGATTGGAGTGAGTGGTTACGTGGAATATCTCCGGGAGCAGGAAGTGTCAGAGCGCTGGTTCCGGTACAACCCACGGCTCACCTGCATTTACTGTGCCAAATCCTTCAACCAGAAGGGCAGCCTGGACCGGCACATGCGTCTGCACATGGGCATCACCCCTTTTGTCTGCCGCATGTGTGGGAAGAAATACACCCGCAAGGATCAGCTGGAGTATCACATCCGCAAGCACACGGGCAACAAGCCCTTTCATTGCCACGTCTGCGGCAAGAGCTTCCCTTTCCAGGCCATCCTCAACCAGCACTTTCGCAAGAACCACCCGGGCTGCGTGCCTCTGGAGGGGCCTCACAGCATTTCCCCCGAGACCACGGTCACGTCCCGGGGGCAGGCGGAGGAGGAGTCCCCCCCCCAGGAGGAAGCTGTCGCTGTGGGGGAGACGGCACAGGGATCTGTGTCCACTACTGGGCCGGATTGAAGCGCGGCTGTGGAGTCTGGGGAGAAAGGACCGTCTTCCCACTCGGGCTCTGGAGTCAGCACCAACCTCACAGGCTGGTACTGTAATTAGTGCAATGCCACCACCGGACAGAAAGAAGCTCCCAAGATGTTGCCAAAACAGAAAAATCTCTCTCTCTCTCTCTTTCTCTCACACCCACACACACACACACACGCTCAGAGTGTTAAACGTTTTTCCCCTTTATTCCTCCTGGGGAGAAACAAGACAACTGTGTCAATCATCTTCTTATTCAGGGATCGACAGGATTTTAAATTTTTGTAATGTTTAATAGTGATCCAGGACAACAGTCACTTTTATTTCTCAGCAGCATTGTGGCCCAGCAGGTGAGCCAGGCTGCTCCTCGCCATAGCCAACAGCGAGGGGAGAGCAGGGCAAGGGGCAGTCGCCTTTCTCCCTTTCCCAGGTAGCTGCCACGTTAAAGAAATCAGACTGTCCTGGTGGAACCTGCCTTGCCTCACCGTATTTATCCCTGTCTTATTTTTGGTGTGTCTCTTTTTACATTTCTACTCCAACTATTATTTTAGGGCTTTTGGCTTGCCCGTCCCAGGTGCGTGGCCTCCAGCCCTTTGTTAAGAGAGGGCACGGCTGTAAAGCGGTATTCATTCCTAGAGGTCAGCAAAATTGGAAGCTCTTCGGCTACTGAAAGTGAGATTTAGCAGCTGTGAGGTTCGCATTACTCTTAATGTGTTGGAAGAAGGTTTGGAGGGGTCTTTTGGGGAGAGACGTCTTTTGATCGGGACAGGTCAGGGCACTCTGACTTCAGATCCGTGCACTGCCGTGCTTTGGCTGTTGCCAAGCTTTAGGAAGAGGTTTGTGGACTGGCTGAACAGAGGAGTTAGAGGCTGGCTACCAAAGTCGTCCTTCATCCCAGCTCTCCCTTGACACGCACTTGATATTTTATAACAGCAATATGGTTTACTGAGATACTATAATCCCAGCCAAGCAATCATGGGTGGTTGCTTTTAAACTTGTTTCTACAAACTAATTTGATAAGTTTTTTATCAATGAAACGCAAAAAGAAAACCTTACTTTATTTCCTTCGAAGGAATTTGGGAAACTTCATGGTTCCCAGAGCAATCACAACTCTGTCCCCTTGCATGGACTTCAAGTTCTAAGCAGTTCTGACGTTTAGAGCCAGTTTAGCAAACCCAGAGAGACATGCCTGCATTGAGTATTGTAGGTGTTTGCACGTGCTTACGTGTTTCATAAATGGAAAAGCATGGGACAGGTAGAGAAGTGCAAATATCTGACATCTTTTGAAGAAGTCTTCTTTTTAAAAATATGCAATACTTTAAGAGTTTTCTTCAGTTCTGGTGCCGAATTGTTCACGATGGAGGGGGAAATGAGCGACATGTTGTGCAGATTGGGTTTGGAAGAGGACGTTTGTTTGAAGGGATTCTCTGGAGGATGTCTAATGTGTATAATAAGGAAGGATGAGGTTCTGATCTTTAAGATGATGGGAGGAACAATGAGACATTGAAAAAGAAACATTCCATCCTGCTTTCACAAAGGAAGCCGGGCGAGCGATTACAGCGTGGGCTTGGCAGGCGGCAGGCTTCCCAAGTGAAACTGCAGCTTGTCCTGTCGTCCTGCTGTCTGACTGCACCCTGGTGGGCATGGGGAGCACCCCCTGGCCCTGCTCTCCCCAATCCAGATTGGGACTCGTGATCATTTTCCTACCTCCTTAAAGGCAAGAATTTGGGGAAGAGGGAAGCACTCTTACCTCGCTTCTGCTCTGTGCAGGTGAGGGGTCTCACTGTTCCTCCCACGTCTCTCAGAAGGCAGACGTGGCTCTAATGAATGTTTTCTGTGTGCGGGGGAGGGAAGGGCTTGGTGTTCATCAGCTGTACTGGGAATGTGCTCCTCAGAGGAACCTCGGCTAGTGTTCTGAGCAGGGAGCCCGCAGAGTACAAGTTCACTGAGCATTTCGGACAGGAAAACTGATATCTCACCTCCATTTTCCTTCCTCTCCTTCTTCCTCTCTTGTCAAGTGCATCATCACGTGGGGAGTGACTCTCTTAGCAGCCACCCCATTCGGTTTCCTATCAGAGGTCAAGCAGTGCGGTCGCCGGAGAGCAGTGACAACAGATGAGAGCTCAGAGGGTGGCTGAGGCAGGTTGTGTTGCAATCGAGGTGTGTGAGGAGTGGAGATATGCAGAGTATGCTGCTTTAGTCATAGCTTTTGAAGTTACCAAAAATCATTAAGAAAAAAAAAGTTACAAACTTTGAAATGCTATCCTGTTCACACTAGAGAGCGTCAGAAGTTACTTTAGTTGCTTAAAAGATTTTTAAGTGTTTTAAAATAGAACTTTTAAAAGAATACTACCAAACTATAAAAACATAAAATTATTTATATACATATATTATATATAAATATAGTGGGAAAGTTTCCCTGCTAAGCTTGCTGTGAAGAGAGGGGTGAAGGTGCAGTAACTGCTATACAAGCAGCATTGGTCTGAAACAGATGGCAACCGATCCATCAGTGCGTAGCGATGGAGATGAGATGGTGAATGCCTTACTGCTATGGCATAGCTGTGAGTTTCTCAAGCAGATTTTTGGGCTTTTTTTTTTTAATTTTTATTTTTTTTTACTGTATTGATACTGTGAATGAAGGAGCATCCAACAGCCCTGGGTGGAATCCTTTCGGGCTGATTCGCTACTTCTGATTGGCCTGGTGAAAATCATTACCTTGTTCCTTCATATTGTTCTAGGCTAGTCTGAAAACAAAGCTTGTGAAAGGTCTTTATTTTTTCCTCTGGGTTGTTTTGTTTTGTTTTGTTTTTCGTTTTGTTTTGTTTTAGTGCAGAGGTTGCCACTGTATAAACGATCATTTCTGATTGCATGCAAAAGAGCCAATATTCTTGCCCAGGCCTCACCGAGGTGAAGTTATAGCTTGTAGCTAGAGTCAGTATAAGGTATGGTAGTGGGAATCATTTTAATATTATTTCTGTACATTTAACGGATGTGTATATGTATGTATGTGTGGAAATCATGGTGCCTCTGACATTTTCTCGAGCAGTGCTGAAAGCAGTTGAGGCCCATCTGCACCACGAGAGGAGATCGGATGGGAGGGAATTGTTCACCTCGCTTTTCTTTCGGCGATTGATTCCTCAGTGCAGGCAGGGCTGCGACCGGAGAGTAAAGGGTTGGAGGTCGCGTGCGGCGTGGCCAAACCTGGGCTGAGCTTCCCAGCTTGGCAGAGCTGCTCGGTGTGGCGATGGCGCCCTTGGTTGCGCCGAGCCCTTTGCGGTCGCACCGAAGCTGTGGAGGAACAGACGCCGGCTTTCCGTGTACGAATGCTTCTGTGACGGGTTGAGGCACAGCTTTGTGTTTCCACGCCTAGCTGCAGCTTTTTCCCCTTTGCCAAAACTGTGATTTCAACTGTGATTCAAGGAGGATGTGAAGCGAAGTGTCGTCGTGATACCTCTGTAACTTAACATTTCTGCCAGCTTCAGTTGGGGCTCACGAACCCGTTTGCTTGCTTGCCTCAGGCGGCAGGGGGGACGTCCTCTATTTCTGCAGGCTTCTGTGTCAGAGGGAGAACACGTTTCTTAGCTCTTTGCTGTGGCAAAGAAACCTTCCTCATGCCAAGTGTCACACTTCTCTCCAGCAGCCTGCAGAAAGCCCTGAGTGACAGCAGAGCAAAGCGCTTGGACGGTCCCCGCTGCCGCCAGCTTCCCTGTGAATAGCTGTGAAAATAATGAGAATTGTGTTAGTACTGTGCTGCTGCTTCGAGAAAAGCTGAGCCTTCCTCTGGGGAGGAATGGCTGGGAGAGAGACAAGCAAAACGTCTTGCTGTTCTCCTGCAGCAGGAGCTTGGGACAGCAAGCAGGGCTGCTTCGTTCCAGCAGCTGGCGAGGGATGAGCAAAGAGGGCTCATGGAATGGGAATTCATCACAGCAAGGTGACAGCACGCTTAGAGACACAGAATGAGGGCCAGTGCTGGGGCAGGTCGGTGGGGCAGGCCCCGGGGCTTGTCCTGCACTGAGCTGCACCAGTGCTGTGCTCACCATGCCAGGAAGATTTTGAGGATGGGAGAAATCCAGGGGCTTTGGTTCAGGAAATGTCTCATGTTTTATTTGGGCTCGGGCTCCGAGTTCCCCCAGGAGCTGAGCCATAACCACAGCCAGAAGTTGGGGTCTTCCGTGGAGCTGTTACTGCTCTGAAATGGTCTGAGGAGTCCTGCCATCTCTCGCCAGCCGCTTGGTTTTGTTGCTGAAAAGCTCTCTTCTGTGGAATATAGGGAAAATCAGAGGGTATAGGAGTGCCTGAACTGATTGGGGTGCCTGTTGGAGGAGAGGTGCCTGGAGAGGAAGGCCTGGCAGCATCTTATTTCTGAGCATAGGATTGATTGGGTTAGTTTCATTGTGCTAATTGGGAACGCTGCCATTGCGAGGATCGAGGCTGTGATGGAAGCAGGGCTGGGCCACGTGCTGGTCCCACACAGGTACTGGAGGTCTTCCTGCTGATCTGAAGGTACCAGAGCTCTGTCTGCTGGGGAACTGCCACGTGGTTCCTACCATTTCTTTGTGTCAGATCCGACCATGGCTTTTTTTTAGGTTGAACTAAAAGATATCCAACTGTAATCTTCACTGACCTGTTTGACTTTTTATTCCTAGGGACTGTAGAAAATTCAGGTTTCACATAACATTATCCTCATCCCAACTGTGAACACGTTACTACTGCTTCTTATAATTTATTACCTTTCCGTTCCTGAACGTCTGTGCGATCCGGCTGTTTACCAGTGCCACCTTCCAGTGCTCCATTAGTTTTCATGCACAGGGAATTGTTGCAATGGATAAGCTGACCATGCTAGTTGGAAGAGTAGAAGCCTTGGCAGTGACTTTTGCTTCCTCTAGCTGTCATTAGGGAATGCACACACACATACTGTATATACATATATATGTATACATATATAAAGTGTTTCAATATAAGCTCATTTAGCATTATTCTTATTTAATTTATATTTTAATCCAGTTGTAAACCAAAGTATTACAGCTTACGAAATGATGTGTCTTGGAAACAGGAGGAACCGTTTGAGGTGGGAGTTCCAAAAGATCTGTATTGACAAAAATACAGATAAAGTAAGGTATAAGAGTTTGCTCTGGCGAATCTTAGGGATGTGGAGCCTTGGGCAGGTTGAAGATTTGCCAGATAAGGTTCGATCGAGGGGAGGCAGTGTGAGTTACTGTTTTAACGCTCTGTTTTTTTTCTCACCCAGTCTGACTTGGTGTTGGAGGAGCTGCTTCAGGAACAGTGCAGCTGGCAGAGAGGAGGCACTTCAGCTACCTTTGCTGGACGAAGCAGGACTTCCCTGCAGGGGAACTGAGGCGTGGGTTTGCTGCTCTCCCTTTTTGTTGCAGGACTGGGAGGAGTTTTTATTGGGACAGGCTGTCCCCGTGCTGTGGCTCTGCCTCCATCTCCCCCAGCCTGCTGTTCCAGGCTGCGGTGGGTCTGGGCTGGGAGGTTTGCACTGAGGTGGAGGAGAGCTGCGGCCAGGCGCAGTGCTGCAGGGCTCTGGCTCACGTGTGCTGTCACAGCAATTACAGCCATCCCTGACTGTCTTCAGGGCCTTCTGAAGGCTTCTGAACAGCCCTGAGGTACAGAGAAATGGTTTTGTTAAACAGAATCCAGGCTTAAAACTTGCCATGTTCTTCATGGCACTTAGCTGTTTTGTGGAAAACAAGTGTGTTCTGGCAAGCCCAGAAATAAAAAGAGGGAAGGCAGCAAATCTGAATGTAGTCTGGCACAACCAGGAGCTAGAGAAGGGCCACACAGAGCTGCCAGTGTGTTGAGTGGCCAATGTAGTGCTGTAGCAGCCAGGCACTTGCTGCTGACTGATGCTGAGAGGCGCGTTTGTTTTTCAGTAACCTCTGTGGAGGGGCACATTCTGCTGTCACCGATGGAAATAGGGTCAGAGATAAAATCTTGCTAATCGTTCTGCACGGGGGAGTAATTGCCTATCCAAGGAAGGCACAAATTCTGCAGCCAGCTCTACCACAAAGTCTCCTGCAGGCTCAGCAGCGGCCGTGCCTCCTCTCAGAGCCTCTTTTTGTAGCAGGCTGCCCTGTGTTCCTTGCACCGAGCAGCAATGAGCTGCCCGCCCGCTGCTGCTGATTGAATAGGTTCCCTTCATACTCTCCTGCAGGATCAGTGCGTGCTCACAGCTCGGGGTGTACACACAGTACCATTTTTAGCTCCTGAGTTCAGATCTGGCAAATATAAAAAGCCTGTAAGCTAATCTATGTTTGATTGCAGGCGCTGGGCACTGGGGCTGAGCACAGGAGCCCTGCTGTGCCACGTTCCTTCTCCATGAACCCTGCAGCAAAGGACAGGGAGCAGAGAAGACAGAGCCAGGCACATCTCCAAGATGCACGGTGCAAGGAGCAGCAGCAGGCAGGAGTTAATACAAGGGATGTGCAGGTTAGGTGTAATGGAGAAGCTTCTGTGCCCTGAGCACAGCCAAACACTGAATGGGGATACCCCCCCTGCCTGAAGGTGGGAGCTGGGGGTCCCTGTCCCTGTGCTGTGCTACGTGAAGCGAGGGGCAGAGGCTCCAACCCTGCCCATGCATGACCATTGTATTTTCATTTGCCAGTGATAGACCTGTGACATAGCATCTTGTCTGCAGCATCTGTGGAGAGGCCGGCTGCTTGCCCTGAGTGCAGCAGCCTGTGTTCCTTGGACTAAGCCAAGCTATATTTCTGTTAGGGTTGTATTTTATTTTGAAGAATTATCGTGTAACAAACAGGCAGCTGTAACAGGCTGCCTAGTTCGTATCAGTTAAGCTTTTGAAACATATTCAGGTATCATTTAAATACTGCTGTGTAACTCCTCGTTTAACCTGACATACTCTGAGTTAATCGTGTTTCTGCAGTTGTCTACGTCAGTACTTTAAAACAAAGCAGTGTATTTTTTTTTTTTTTTGCAGACTGTCAGTTATGTTAAGCTTCCAATTTTATGTAGGTTTTCTACTTAACCCCCCTCAGTTTTACAGTTAAATGTCTTCATTATTTTTATTATTAATTGAGTGAAGCTTATTTATTTAAACCTTCCTGTTACATTTGCAGTCAGACCCAGTACCATTGGCCACGGCCCACGAAACTGTGAAACTAATTATAAAGTAAGAGTGAAGCTAGATTGGTGAATTACTCGTGGTTATAAAATACAGTGAGTAGCAGCATCAGAATAGGATTAAAACTGCTGGGGCTGGGGGAGGAATCATGCAAGTACAGCTGGGAAACCTCTCTGGGAACATCACCTGAAGATGTTCCTGCACCAGTTCCCCACTTGCCCAAGTTGAGGAGCTGTCCTGAGACAGAGAGTTTTGTCTGGGGTCTGTGTGCTAGTCGGTGTGTTGCAGGCATTGGTTTGATATGGGTGCTCTGTAATGCCATGTCCTTAGTGCTTACACATCTGAGGAAGCTCTGGATTACTGTGAAGCTTTTATTTAACTCTCCATTGCATGGGAGGTGATATCTGAACAACCGTTGGTTTGACAGAGGTGAGGGCTGAGGCAGCAGCTGTGTGACACTAACAGAACGGGACGGTGCAATTTTCTGAAGGACAGCTCTGCTTTTGGCCCAGCTTGTGCCTGGGGAGCAGTGGAGCTGCTGTTTGTTTGGCCCCTGGCATAAGGCAAACACCTCTTGGCTCCCCGAATTTCATGCCTGGGGAAGAAGCTCTGTTGGCAAAGGGCAAGTGCCAGAGAGATAATTGAAAGTGCAAGGGAATGCTGTCATTAAATAACACGTGCTTCTTGTGTACGTAGAACTGCTGCTGGTTAGGATAGACTGAGGAGCAAGAGGGATCCTCTGTGATGGAAACTGAGGATGAGAACCACGCACAGCTCCCTGCTCCTGTGGTCACTTCTCCACTGCCTGTAACACGAGATGAAGCCCATTTGTTGCCCAAGGTGCTCTCTGCCCCCACCTTCCCCCAGCATCACCCCCCTCTTTCCTGTACAACACTGTGAACGACACCAGTCACTCTTTTAATGCTCCCATCCAGCTTGCTGAGAGCACAAAGTGCTGCCCTACGCGGTGATGCTGGGGGAGATGGGCTGAGAGCTCTGTGCTGCACACACACAGGGACAGCTTTGTGTAGCAATTTGCTAATCACGCCTGATTTCCTAATGAACTCAACTGACAATCAATTTCTAAAATATAAGAGCTTCTTAGAGGGAATAGTCGAGGATGTCTTCACTGGGAAGATTTAACTGGGATAACTTTATAAAGAGCACAGGAGCTTTTCTGTTTCTGAGCAATCACTCCAGAAGGTGGGTTGCATTAAGCAGCAGAGTCCCAGGACAGTAACTACCTCTCTCTCTCTCTCAGAGTGCTGAGGTCGCCACGCTATGTGCTGTCAGCAAAGCGTTTGCTTCACATTTGTTTTCCTTACCTCCGTGTGGCAGCAGCACAAGGTGGCTCTAGAGTAGGGAAATGGCACTGGGGAGCACCTGCAGTGCCAGCAGCTCTCTGTGAGCCCCGTGGATCTGTATGTCACAGCGAGGCTCCCAGGGCTACTTGCCCTGCACTGGGAGGGAGTGAGGGCGTGAGGGTGAGGGGGACCCACCTCCCTCCCACCCCAAGGGAGCAGGCAGCAGCAAAAAGCAATAAACTTCAATAACAATAACACTTTTATACATCGGTCATTACTCAGCAGATGTGACTCCCTAGTTTTATGTCTTGTACAAACGTACAGGGAGCAGATCTAGCATGTGAAAAGGTGCCATTTTTTTTTTTTTTTTTTTTAATTAAACAGAGTCCCTTTCCAAACTAGAACAGCACTTTAAAATAGGTTCCTCTTTAAGAAAAAAAAAAAAAGGAAAAAAAAAAAGGAAAAAAAAAAAAAGAAAAACCCTTTACTGAAGAAATGCACTTTAATGGTAGGTGAGCATGGCTGCTGTTGAGGCGGCCGTCCCGGCGGAGGCTCGCTGTCAGCCAGAGCCCAGGGAGCAGCATTGCCCAACGCATGGCGCCCATGTGCCCATGCACTACTGCAGCTCTACCTCCCACTGCGTGCCCCTGGGCCTGTGCTGCTGCAGGAGTCCCACCCGAAGGCAACAACAGGATGGGGTCTGTTGCAATCCGGTTGTAAATCGGTCAGAAAAACAAAACCCACCATCACCTTTGCCTGTAGGGAGAATTTAACCCCTTTTACAGTAGGTCAGATGGTACCCCCAGGTCCAGCGCAGGGCTGAGTTAAGGTGAGGCTGTTCCTAGGGGTGTGAGGTTTTTCATATTGTGGATACGGAGCCCTCAGCAGTTGAGTATTTAAAAATAATAATAGTCCAAGTTCACGCGTCCCCTGTTGATTCCGCTCAGAGCTGGTTTGCAGAGTAAGCATTTGTAAGAGAAATTGTGCTGTCACCATCGACTCTTGGCTTATAACTCAGACGTGTAGGGCACGCGTCCTCACCCTCAAGACTTATTCTCACACTTAAGAAAATTTCCTGCTGTACTAATTATTGTTTATTTTTAATTTTATTCTTGGTTGCAATGAAAAAAAGACAAAAAAAGAAGCCTGTACTCACACTCAGTCTGCAGTAGGTTGCAGCGCGGTCCTGCTGTTCTCAGCGATCCCACCAGCCATCCCTGTGCTGCTCCGTGCCCCGTGGGATGGGCAGTGGCTGCAGTGTGAGCAGCAGAGCTGTGGCAGGGGCACGAGGCCGAGGCAGAGGGGTTGTGCAGTTGTACAATTGCATTTCAGCAGTTTAGCAAATAAGCGCTCTCGTCGGACAGCTTTAAGAACAATGTGAATGAAAAAAAAATCTAGCGACTTGGGTAGGAATCTTTGAAAATTCTAGCAATGTATACTTGAACTTCTGTTTGTATCAAAAACAAATTGCATTTTTCTTCTTTCTTTTAACACGGTGTAAAAGAACATTATGCATGTGAGTGGTTTGAGAATTAAATGGTTTAATACTCAGCTCTGTGCCTGTCTCTTGTAGCTGACTGTTCCTGGCTAGCAGTGTTTCCTCCCAGCCGGGTGGCTGAGATGGGGGTGAGCCTGCCCAGCTTTCCAGCTGCTTCCTTTCTCATCGTCTTCAACATCCACAGACCGGAGCACTACTGGAAAGCTCACACAGATGCCCTACCAAATCCAGAGCAAATGGCAGCCCAGGGACTGCCCCCCACTGTGGTGTCAGCAGCAGCCTGCACTCAGCTCTTCTGGAACTTGCACCAACAGCAGGACAAGACCGTGTTTTTTCACTGCCTTTGTTATTTTAAACTCCAGCCGTAAACGCAGATTTCTCAGAGGACAGAGCTCGTTTAAAGCTCACTACTCAGACAAACAGCCTGAACAGCCATGTGAGGCTTTCACTAGTTCAGCACTTGGGCACGGCAGGGCTGCTGGAAGCTCCAGTGCTTGGCAGCTCCTCCACCCACCAGCTGTACACTGCAGAGCTGCAGAAGATGGCCCTGGCCCAGCACTGGTTGCTTGGCTGCTGCTGCTGCGACTGAGGAGTGTGGGAAAGGGCATATTCATTGAGAAAGGGAAGGTTAAGCCTGGGAAGTGACTTAGTGAAAAGCGTCCATTCAGAGATGAGTTTATTCCATACAGATCTATAGGCTTTAACGTACTGGGGGATCAGAGTTACAGTTTGATGCCTGAGAGGGAGGAGGGGCTGCATGCAAGAATGCCAGTGATACTGGTCTCTCTGCCATGAAAATACCAGTGCCATTATTTAAAAAAAAAAAAAAAAAATCAGCTTCCTTTGAATGAGGGTTGGAGCAGGAGAAGGACGGCCCCTCCCTGCAGCTGGCACCAAACAGTAATACAGCCACCTCAGCACTACCTGGGCTGCATGGCAGTGCCCTACCACCTCTTTCCCAGGGGCAGGGAGGGGAGAGGTGAGGCCCAGACAGCCTTTAGGAGCAAGGATCAGATATTCTGCCCATGAATATAATGGTGTTGAGGGTGGCTTCCCGGATGAAGAGCAAGAAGGGCCTGTTGGCCTCAAAGATAATTCTGTTCATGGGGAAGGAACGGCCAGAGATAACAACAGATGTCGCTGCTGATGCCTCGCTGCCTTCTTCATTCACCTACCAACCAGAAGAGGAGGAGGAATTAAAACACAGGCGTGATGCAGCATTTAGAGGGCTCTCCCTCCCTCCCCACCAATTTGAAGCACAAGGATGCCCTGTGCTTCAGTGTCTCCTTGTGGAGACGACCTGTGTTAGAGCCACTGTCTTTTACGTTTTTCCTTTTATGCTTCATGCTTTTAAAAAACAAAGAGCAAAACATCCTGGGACAGAATGAAGCTTACCTCAAGGAAGGCTTTGTGGAAAGCCTCAGATACATACAGGTCCGTACGGCCCTCTGCAACTATACCTGAAACCCAGAATAACAAAACAAGGAAATCCAAACCATGTTTTGAGACAGGAGCTCAAGATGCAAAACAGTCCCTCCCTTCATGGACAGCATTCAAACCCAGCAGGCACATCTGCCCTAAAACGAGGATATCTTCCACCAACTGCAGTGGATTGCTCAACTCCCACACCCTCAGAGCTAAGCAGGGCTGTGTGCCAACAGTGAGAGCTGAGTGCTGAGTCCCTCAGTGGTGCAGCATCACTTAAAAGTTCTCAGTCTTCTTTTCCTCACAGGTAGGTTGCCCCCATCCCCACACCTCACCTGGCAGTTTGGCATTTTCTGGACTGAAGAGATCTTCCAGCCCCATTTTTCTCAGCTTCTCCTTGACGCTGAAGCTGTCCTCGATGCGGAAGCGGGGCAGGGAGACAGTAAGGGAGACCTCCATCATAGAGTCGATCCAGTCCTGAAGCTTGTCTGACCTCAGGTCTCGCTCCACCTCCACCAGCGGCGTGCCGGCTTTGGGCAGGACCAGCACCATGGTGATGTCGTCCCCTTTGTAAGGCAGCTCCAGCACCTGGACTTTGTCCTCCTGGATGAACGCATAGCGGAACCTGGACTCCTGGTACATGATGGGGACCTTGCAGGTCTCACCGTTGGCTTTGTGAAATAAATCCAGTCTTGTGTTTGGAGCTGGGAACTGCGACTTCCAGTGCCCCTGATAGGGAGATGATGAGAGCAAAAGCAAACATGAGTAACATCACTTCCCCTGGGAAAATGGCTGCTCTCCAGCTTTGTTAGCCATACCTTAAAATAAATGGTGTTGACCAGGACCAAGACAGTGAGCTCATCGATACCGTTTTCTGGGATCACTTCTGTAATGCGCCTCTCCGTCTTATTGGCTACCCACTCGTTTATGATCTGCCTGGAAAGCTCTGGCTTCTCCTGAAGGATGAGACCAAAATAGTGTAAGTTGAGGGTTATAAACACCTCCCAAGAGAGAACACCACACAGCACCGTTTAGAAAGAAGAAGCTGGGAAGTGACTGTGGTTACAACCCTGGGACAGGAGGAGCTGCATCCCATGCTCCTGTCTGTCTTCACCAGTGTTCCCTGTGCTGAGCATGGCACTCCCTGCAGCAGGGGATGGGGATGCAGCAAAAGCAGGACAGGGAAGAAAAAACAAACAAACTAGGAATCTTAAGCAGTTGAAACTCACTTTGAAGTTCAACGGCCAGAGTTTGGCTCCATAAACTATTTCACTAATGTTCTGGTAGGTCTCATTGAAGACCAAGGATTTCTCTCCGAAGAGACGGTTTGCTGATATTAGCTCTGATGACTTGTTGGCTTTCTTGTAAAGACGGCAGTTGAGCTTGGCAAAGAAGAAGTGGACCTGATCAGAAGTCTTCTCTGAAATAGTGTCAAACTGGAAGACCTGGAGGGGCCAAAGAGCAAGAAGGAATCCATCAGCAAGCTCCTGTGCTCCCACAGCAAGTGGTGATGTAGCTCTTGCCATCTGCTCATCCCCGAAAGCACAGCCTTAGAATAACAGAACCACAGAATATCCCAAGTTGGAAGGGACTCAAAAGGGCCATTGGGACCAACTCCTGGCTCCACACAGGACCACCCAAAACTCAGACCCCGTGTCCAAGAGCATTGTCCAGACACTTCTTGAACTCCGGCAGCTCAGCGCTGTGCCCACTGCGTTGGGGAGGCTGTTCCAGTGCCAACCACCCACTGGTGCAGAACCTACTCCTGATATCCAACCTGACCCTTTCCTGAATGAACAGAACCCTGGCCTTTCCCCAGCGAGAGCCCTGCACCAGGTGGGCATGGCTGATGGAGCCAGATGCAGCTCTTGGGTCAATGCAGGCCATGGGAGGACTTGTAGGGTTTGCTCTAATCCTGTGAGAATGCCAAAGACTGCTCCTTCCCAGGAGTAATTCTCATGGTTTGTTGAGTAATTCTGGTACTTGTTATCTGTTTTCAAGTATGTGGCAATTGTTTTGAGGGTAGATTGCAGCAGCACAGTGATTTTTTTTTTCTATTCTATTCCTAGCTGTCAGCTGGAAGGACAGCTCCAATTTGTCAGCTCCTATCCATCTCAGGGCTTGAGGCACAGAAAATCCCATAGCACATTGCTCATTATCTGTGGCACCACTTCCTATGAGAGGCAAAACTAGGTGTTACCAGCCCTACTGTGGGGAAAAGGAGAGCGTTAGGAGCACGGCCCAGGGAGAGAAGGGTTCCTATCCCGCAGCAGAGGCCGCCCACAGGGGAAGGCATGCCTCAAGGTTTTGGTGGCCCCTTGCAGAGCTGGGACCTGAATGAGCTGAGACCCAAGCAGCCTCCTGTGTCCCATCCGAGGGCTGTTTAAATGAAAGCATTCCCTCCCGTGCCATCTGCCCTGACAAGGCAGCCGCCAGCAGCCCGGCACCACCGGCTCCACAGCCTTTCAGGCCCCAGTAGCAGCTACAGGGAAGGCTGAGGAAACGCCACCGACCTCCATGAGCTGCTGCAGGGTGTCACCGCACGCCCCGAGCTTGGTCATGGCGAAGGCTGTGGAAATGCTGAGGGGAGACAGGAAGATGTTCTCCTCGTTGTCCTTGGAGTCAGCCAGGTGCTTGTAGAAGACAACGGCGAAGCGCGAGTTGGCCCTGGACAGCTCCCAGACACGGGGGTTGGTGAACTCCGGGATCCTGCCCTTCCCCGGCTCCAGCACCTCGCTTTCCTGGGGCTTCTTCTCAGGGTTGCGGTAGATGCAGATGGGATTCACAGGGATGTCGCGGGGCTTTGCAGTGCAAATGTCTTCCACGGCATAGCGTGCAGGGGCAGCCATGCCCCAGAGGCCGAAGAGACACACCACGAAGAGATGCATTGTCCTGGAAGCAGAGAGTTTGCTGAGTGCATGCCTGCCTGCCCAGGGAGCCCCCAGTGCCCCCAGCCCAGCCAGCATCAGGACCCTCGTGGTCCTCTCCCATCACCCTCCTGTAGTGCAGCTGTGGGATGGGCCGGCACAGCCCCACAGGGCAGCACACCTCTGAGCACACCTTGCTTTTAGAAACAGCACAATGAAAACAGTGCTTTCCTAGAGCCACAGGTGCCCTTTTTTTAAGCAGCCCTATCAAGCTGGTGCAAAAACACGCAGACCAAAGCTCTGATCACTCTATGGGGAAGCCACCAAAGTCTGCTCTGCACTGCATTCACATTTTGGCTTTGTACAGACCCTGCCCTGCTCCCTCCTGGGGATGAGCTCCGTGCCCCAAGCTCAGCAGAGGAGCACCCTCAGACACAGTGCTTCGGATGGTTTCCTTCCCTTTTTCCTGGGGGAACCTCCTTCTCCAGCTCTGTTTCCTTCCTTCCCTCGAGCCCTTCTGCCCTTTCAATTTCCAGCTGCGCTTTCAGGCCCACTTCAGCCTTGCGCTGTTCTAACTACTGCAGGAAGCTCAAGCAGGGGATACACAGCCCACCAGCCCCAGCAGCACATTCCTGGGCACCCTAGGGCTGATAAACACTGCACCCTAGAGATGTCCTCTGTGTAACTCCCAGTGGGTTTGCTCATGTCCCCATGGCTCCTCTGTGGGCAGGGAGAGGAAAAGGCCCCATGTTCCCACCACTGCAGTCACCTTGTGTTGCCCCATCAGTGGCAAAACTGAAGGTTTCTTTTAATGACCGCTGGAGCCACCAGCACCTAGCAGGGCAACACGGGGTGATGCGGGGAGCTCTGGGCTCTTTCACAACTCCCTGCCCGTGCTCTTGTGCAATGGCTGGATGATCTTCCAACCCAGACCAGTCTGTGACTTCATTCGGGCTGCAGCTCTTTCATGAAAGTAGAAATTACTTCATTTGGCACTGGGGCTGTACCGAGCCTTGGGGGCCCTCTCCAGCACACTGTTAGTGCAGCAGCAAGCACTGCAAGAGGACGTGCACAACAAGATGCTCTTGCTCAGAACACGGCCACTCTGAGTGGTAAAAGCAAACAGAATGTTGCAAGAATATGAAGGACAGATGCATGGAACAGCTGCAGCAGCACGGAACGCAAAGCCTGAAAGAGGAGGGAAGTCAAATAGACTGACCCTGCAAGCACCACGGCGGGCAGGAGGAAAGGAAGCACTCGGGCAGTTGGGAGCACTGCAGGAAGTGCCACTGTTCCCTACTTCCAACTCCTGCAGGGGAGGGAGCTCAGCCCCACACCACTGCACTGCATGCCCTGCAGTTGGTGCTGAGCATCCCACAGCCCCTGCAGTTGGTGCTGAGCATCCCACAGCCTGTCCTGGCTTTAGATTCCATCCGTTTGGAGGAGATGTGAGATTTTACACTCTTAGCCCCTTCAATCTGATGTATCAGCTCCTTGGGCCAACCCTGCCCCCCAGCATACGCAGTGCACACACACACAGCAGGAGGGGAACCCAAGACCCACAGGGCTGCATGTCATACTGCTGGCTGGAAGCTGCCCTGCTCCCCCAGCAGCTCCTCGGGCCTCCCTTTCATTCTGTCCACACTCCACTCATCAGCTGGAGGGAGTCCAAAAGTATTACAGCAAATGACTGGCTGGGAAGGGTTACTGGCAAGGGAGAGCACACAAAGGGGGAAGGGCTTGGCCGTCCTGCTTCAGTCACCTCTGTGAGAAGCACAGAAAACCAAGGAACAAGTTGCTGATTCAGCTAAAAACCAGAAGGCTCCATACAAACGTGGGGTCCCCCAATCCCACAGCCAGGCTGCTGCCAGCACAGCCCATGTGTCCCCAGTCCCACAGCCCATGTGTCCCCCTACAGTTTTGCATTCAGCCTGCAACAAACGCTGCACTCACCCTGCTACCTTCCCTGGCAGTCCTGCAGCACTTCTCTGAGCCCAGCAGCTCAACCTGATTAGAGACCGACAGAAAACCTTTCCCTACTGCTCCCCAGTGCTGCTCCTGCACAGCCAGGCCAGGGTTGGTGCTCACCCAGGACAACCCAGCCTACAAAGTGCTCGCCACAGCACGAAGCAGCGCCACAAAGAAATAAGATGAAGCACAGCCCATCAGTGAGCTGGGCACAAATTGCTCCTCGATGGGAACTGTGATGTTCTAAGCTCCCCATGCCCTGAGCAGAAGCCCCATGTCCAGAGCAGCAGCAGCAGCCTGAATTCCTTCAATAGGCAAATGGAGCTGTGGATTCAGTTAAAAATCAAGCATTAGCAGAAGTGGTTTCTCTTACCCAGCCTGGTGCCTCCAGCCTCCTGTGTTCTAGATGTAAATGCAGATCTCCAGGAGGACAGGCAGTGCTCCACCAGCCCCAGGCTCCCAGAGCAGCCCCGAGCAGCTCCACACTGGGCTCCAGCAGCAGGCAGGATGGGGGCAGGATGCTGGGGCCAAAGGCTGATGACCGCTGCAAAAGGTTAAACAAAGAGCAGGAAAACAAAAAAGCAATGTTTGGCTTGAAAGAGGTTTTAAAGTTCAATCTGACAAGGGAAAGTTTGACCACCTACCCCTTACAAACGCTAGGTGCCTTCCTTTCTTGCCAATAAAAAAAATTAACTGCTCGTGAAAAAGTTTTCAAAAGGTCACTAAATCCCAACCCCTGAGACGTCTGTGAATCTCACTCTGGTACCTCATTGCTCAGCAAAATGCAGCTCTCAGGAACAGCACTTGTGGTCCTAGGCTGCAGGGCCTGCAAAGCCAGGCTGTGTTACAGCCCAGGGCCATAAGTACCACCTGAAAACTGGCTGTGCCCAACACGTCAGTCTCGCACACGTTGTTCTTGCTCTCACCCATCCTACAGCAGGGCTGCCTTTGTCCAAAGCGAGCACGGAAGCCACACGGTGCCCTATGAGCAGCACCCAGCAACTCAAGGCAGCAAGAGCTGCAGGAGGCGAGCAGTGCACTGCAAGGAAGGGCTCAGCTGTGCTGCTCACAGTGCTCCCAGCAGTGCTGGTGTAACAACCGAGGTGAGATCTGCTCACAGCCCCGGAGCCTTCAGAAGGGATCAGCTGCTCTCTGCTCCCAGCACACCCAAGGAGGGGCTCTTCACCCAGTGCTGAGGGGTAGCTCTACGCCACGTGAACCAGGAGCAGGCAGATGTGTTCTGCACATCTCACACAGCTCAAGCTATGGGAATGAAGTCTCACCAATGTGATGAGGCACAGCAGGACAGCAGCTATGTGCTATGCACACAATGCAAACAGAGGCAGAATGCCTACAACAGAGCAAGGAACACCTCCTTTTTTCAATGGTGGCCCTATTAGCGGCGAGGCTAATTGCAGAATGCAAGAAGATGGTGAGCCGGAGGCTTCCTCTAAGCATTTATTCCCAAATCCAGCATGGGGCTGAAGGGATCCATCAGCTGCCCAAGTCATACCCCATACAGAGGAGCTGATAAATACCTTGAGTGCAGTAGGTAAGTGGCAATTTATTGCGGGTTCAGCTCAAACTAACAGCTCAGCACTGATGGTTGGGCAGAGCCATCCCTGAGGAGGCCAGAGAAAAAACGGCAGGTTTCCCCAAGCTCCCCATTCAGTTCCTTCGATCAGACTCTGCAGCAATTCACATCTTTTTTTCTTTTTTACAAACCAACTGCCACAGAAGTTCAAGCTGGTTTTAAGTGTACCTGAACATCCTGGAGCCCTCAGACCAGTGAGGAAAATGAGAAAGGGAACCATTGCCTGCAGAAACACCCAGTTTCCACATGATCGCTCACCAAATACAACTCTCTTTATAGGAACTGAATATCTCAAGTGACCCAGCGAGAGGCCAGCTGTGTGACTGCCCTAAAGGCAATGAGGACAGCATTTGGTGCTCACTGCATGCTGGACCTCCAGTCAATTAGCAAAATGGGTTATTTTGAACATCCTTTCTTGTTGGAAGGATTGACCTGGCTTGCAGGCAGGCAGAGAACAGACAGCCCATAGAAGCAGCTGCTTCTCTGCCATTCAGCATCTCTCATGCCCCAGCCCCAAAGAGAACCAACGCCTTGGTCTGAACCCATACACCATCAAGACAGCACACCCAGAGCCCAGAGGAATGCACATTCATCCGAGACAGAAAATGAGAGATATTTCAGTGTTCTCCATTAATTTATCATTTAATATAAATGCTGACAGAAAAGCAGATAAGACCTTGTAGACACTTCCATCTATTTACAGACCAAGTAGCGAATCACCACCTTTCCACCGGTTCAAGTGTTTGTTGGATCTGCAACTCAAAGGACTCTCAGACACTGTGTGGAAGCAAGGTGAGGCTGAGCCAGCTTGAACAGGGAGAAAAGCAAAGTGAAGAGAGGAAAGGAAACAGCATTTCAACATATGGCTTTTTCTATGTCACCATCATGCACACGCAATAGGTCTCCGCTTCCTTGCTCTTTAATACAAGTGACACCGTAGGTTCTGTTGTTTAAGGAAGAAACAGGGAGACAAACGCTGACTTTCAGACCTCTGGACCTCCCTTGCCTTTTGCCTCCTTCAGCCCGCTCCATCCTACTGCAGCACAACACCTGACAGGCTGTTCTTCCCACCATAACAAGTCTATTGCAGGAGCGAAGACGGTCAGATACAGTGACCTCTTCTACTCCTTTTGTCATCTGGGTTTTCCCAAAAGGCAGGAAAGCATCTCATGCTTCAAGGAGAGGTATCGCAATGCCTTGCAGGCTCAGCGTGTGTACAAGGCTTCCAGCTTCCCCTGAACTTGCAAAGAATTCACTTTATGGAATTCTTCTCATATGCTCTACTTCATCTCTACTCCTACTTAAAGCATTCTGATAGTTACACACAATACATATTCACAAAATCACTCCGACAGTCAGCCATCCACATAAGGCTTAAGAATTATTATTTTTCGATGGGAAAGCGAAGCAGGAAAGAAAGAAAAACAGGGGGAGGAAAAAAGCAAGAAAAGAACCAGCTCAACAAATGGGAATCATGACGCTTTGTTTAGCATTGACTTATGAGAACAGCAGACAAGGAATTTCACTTATCCAAAAGCCTAAATAAATTCAAGAAATAGTTCATAACCTGACTCAACAAATCTCATGGTCTCCTTTATTACCTAGACTATCCTTTTTATTTTTTGTTAAATATACCTCTGCAGGGCACAATCACATACAATCAATACGATTGGAAAATTACATGAGCTCTATCCCAAGCATATATGCACCAATGTTAAAAAGTTATTTAAAAAACCAAACAAACCAAAAAATAAACTCCACCCAAAAAGGTGATAATGACTGCAGTATGTCTCGGGGAGACTGGTACAGAACTAACAAGATCAAAAAAAAAACAAAACAAAACACCTAGGCTTACAAAAACAAGAGAAAAAAAGTCATCTATAGAGAAATCCCACAACTGGAAGCAGATATTTCCAAGAGGAGGTGGGAGCTGTTGCACTGACCATCCTGTAAGTCTTCCTCCTCCTTCTCACGCATGCTTTGCCTCACCTCTTCCTCCCCACAGCAATAAATACAATGAGGAAGGACCTCCTGACGCTATGTTACTGGGTATAGAAAATGGGGAAAATAATGAAGCTACAGCACAGTTGCTAAGCTGACTTCAAGGAAAGCTCCTCTTAGCACAGAGGCTGCTTACACAGCAAGCAGAGGCCGAAGGGGTAACGGGAAGTCCTTAAAATTAGAAAAGCCAGGCCATTTGGTGTGCTGGGTTTGCCCATGTTACAGCAGCTTCCTGCAGAAGGGCTGCAGATAAAAGGGGCCAATTGTAAACTGTGTAGCAGCTGTGATGCAAACAGGGTTTCCACTCTGTTGCTTTCTACATTTCTAAAGTGCTGCTACCAAGTTTTATTTTAAAAAGCTGGAAATCAAGAGGTCAGTGCACACGTCCAGTTGTGGGATTCATCCAGTACACAATCTGGTTCGGATGCCAAAGACTTGTGAGTACTGCCTGCCACAGAACTATCCGTAAGTCCATTTAACAGTACAAAGAAGCAAATCATTTCTTAAACATCAAATACTCCACAAGGTTGGTTTTTTATTTTTTCCCTTACACATATATTTTCTCCCATTCACATTTCATACGTAATACCCATTACCTGTAATGCATTGTGTTTTTTTCAGAGACACTGCACCACCTGTTACTTCTGTTTTTCTCAAAACTGTTTCCTTAACCTGAAGCTGATATTGTGTTTTCCTACAACACTCTTGTTTCCTGGAGTAGGAAAACATCCAAACTGTGTGCTGGGCACCTAAACTACCCAAAATGCTGAACACTTGGCAATCTGCACTAAAATCATACACCAACTCACTGAAATTGCA